AAAATTTGGATATAGATTTATCGGCCAACATATCGGTTATCGGCTTTCAAAAATAAAGAATTATCGGTTATTGGTATCGGCCAAAATTTTCATATCGGTGCATCCCTATTCTTTATGAACCGCAGGATGGCTTGTAATAAAGATTTAAAAGCAAAAGGCAGTAGAACTGACTATTTCTGTCAGAGGTGAGTTTTAATTTAGAATGTTTGTGATAATGTAAGAAATGTATTTTAAATGTTTTGCCACTTGCTTGAGCAACTTTTTTGTGCTGTGTGTAAGCTATTCTGCAACAATTGCACAAGAGTAAAAACAAAAATACACTTCATGATCGATTTAGGTGAGATAAATATATATTTTTGAAAAATGTCTAAAGAATGCTCCCCTCCACCCTTTAAATAAAATAAAAATCCCCTCTCACAAGAGTCACCTATAAGAGGGAAATTCCCCCCCATTTTAAAAAATTTAATTCAGGCCCTGAATAATTGTCTAAAATTCCTGATTGGAATGATAAAAATAAGGCTTTAAAAAGATCAGTATCGGTGATCATATCGGCAGATACTGCTTTCTGTGATCGGCCTCAAAAATCCTGATTGGAGCACCCCTATTGTTTTGCAATGTCAGTTGAGGTTTTAGAGTTTTAAAAACAACAGTAACTGTAAAAATAAATTCAAAAAAATATTAAAATAAAAATCTGCTTGACAAAATCTTCTGTTGATTCAATGTATTATTCACAAAAAAGTGTCAAAACAATACTGCACAGACTAGAAATATATTACAGTCTTAAAGCGATGCTTTGCCTCTACCCTTTTTGTTTTAACGTATTCTCCAAGCACAGCTAGCATTTGATGCCCTCAGGCTACGCTTTAGCCCCTCACACACTGGGACTATCAATTCCCCCCCAACTAAAGCACACATGTAGCCAGGGGTCTGTCCAAAATCCACATAGCCAGTGCGCTGTTTAAAGCAGAGAAGAAGGCCAGTGAAAGTAGCCGATAAATAATGGATAGCTCGTTCTCTCCTCTGTGAAAAAACATGACAGATTCTTTCCTGCACCCTCTGCTTGTACAGCTTCATTTTTGACTCTAGGGGCCCGCCGCCCGCCGTCTCCATGCTCTCATCTTCGAATGGTCCTTCCAGTGATTACGAAGACATAAATGCACCGTCTGTCTTGATGATCAATCATCCACTGGATCTATAAAGACGGCCCCAACACAGAGCTCCAAATGTAATCAAATTTAAAGGAGTGGACGCTGCCCAATCTGCCAGCAGTTTGAGGAGCGTCATTGGCTGTAAGCATGACTGACAACTTATTTAGTAATGCTTCAGCAGCAAGCAACACAATACGTGATGATGACAACTTGGGGTGTTCGACAAAAGCATGCTCAATTTTGCCTGTCATGTCATCAATGGGCTCCTGAGAGCCACTGAACCATAAAACAGCTCTTATACTAGACAAGTGCTATTCAGTAATAAGCATAGCAGAATTACATAATTTAAACACACAAACAAGGCAACTGGGGGTCAAAGCTTCCCATCACTGAATTCGACAGCAGAAGAATAGAAGCAACACTCGGGATCAGCTCCATGTTCACTTTTTTTTTTTATGTCAGCCTACTTCTCTGACTCTTCCTACACACTGAAGCAGCCCTCAAAAGAGCAAATGTCTGAACAGCAACGTCAATCTGAACAGCAAAATACTTTTGACAAGCCATTTCAATTAATCCAACAGTGACTATGTTTTTAATCCTTTTTCATTGTAATTTTTTGCAGATATTTATTTACTTCACTAGTAGCTATTCATTACATACTAAATCCTACTACTTATCCCATTGGTGACTAGAATCCTTTGAATAAGTCACTACTAGAACATATTAATTATTAGTTATCAGTACTTATTCCTTTGTTACTAATCACTATCCCAAAATGACGAGTAACTACTCCACTGTTTTCGGTAACAAATATGAACTAAACGTCGCCACTGAATTCTATGGGAATTTGTCATTCAGATAAATCATATCATAGTGACTATTTTAAGGTTTAGTAATATCTATTCCAGTTTTCCTAATGACAACTGAACATCAGTACCTCTTCATTAGACAGTAATATATATTCCAACTGTTGTAACTTTTTTTATGTACCTATAAAGCAGCCATTTTGGCTAATAATTACACTCGCACTGTAAAAAAAACAATTGCAACTAGTGATATAAGGAATGTAAAACCTGAGGTACTAGTGTCGCATTAATCTGTACTAGGATGGAATACTAGAATGAATACAAGAACCTGAATAGGTAGCCTAATAGTGAAAATTATACGTTTCAGTTGTTGACAACAGTTGACTCCATTAGTTAACATGAACTAACAATGAAAAATACTTCTTATCTTACTTAACAAGTAATTTCAACATAATACTAATACATGAATACAAAAGTTGTATCTGTCAATATTACTGAATGGACTTGAACTAACAATAAACAGTTAACGTTAACAGATTAATAAATACTGTAGCAAATATATTGCTCGTTGTTAGTTATTATTTGATTACTTACTAATAAATTACTCAATAAGTAGTAATATAATCAAACATACTAGCTAGCGTTAAAGGGGATAATTTGTTACAACGGCTTGGCATACATGCCTTCACTGCGAAAGACATTTTATTGACGTTAAAAAAAGTCGAATTCCCGTTGCTCCTGTTTAACCTCCTGTCTTTCTGCTTAACACTGACACATGAACAGACCAGAAAACCAGCCGGCTACAGAGGAGCCCGAGAAACCGACTCGGGAGCCGATAATTATGCGGGTTAGATGTAAGATGTGGATTTTAAGTGATTTTACCTTTTCTCGTTTCGACAGCGCACGACACGATAAGAGAGACCGCTGAGTCCTTTCGCTTCGTCCCAGTGCAGATCCGAGGCTCCACGCGCTGTGGAAAATGTGATCTTCAGATCGTAGTACCTCAAAAATTAATCCCAGTAAAAAAGAGAAAGAAAGAGTTAATGTTGGAGCATTTGTATTTGAATGCTATGTTAGTTTTATGCAAATGCTTCATGATTCACAAAGGATTTGAAATGTCACAGGAATTATTAGCCTTTTGACCACCCTGCAAACTCATGAAATGCCACAATAATGTCTTTGCTTTTGGAACAGCAGGATCCCCTTTTGTCATTACATTTTTAAGGAATCCAGGTGCAATAAAGAAAATGACATAGCCTGCTTTTTGAATAGAAGTTTGAAGGATAAAAGTACTGGCAGCAATGAATAAACTCAAGGACAACATAATGTTCTACTGAGCGTGTAGCTCTGCATGGCGTGATTTCTCTGTCACATTTTTCTCTTTATGTCTCCAACAATATTTCACTTCAAAACATTCAGAGGGGTCCATATGAAAGAGAACGTAGTGAACTCTGAAGTTGACATTTGAGACGGCAGAAAAGGTGAAATGACAAGTAATGGCATTCGAAGAAAGGTCAAGAACAGAGAGAATGAAATTAAGAAAGGTGACACTCACCTCTTTGAAGTTTCCTCTCCATGGATATGATGTAAAATAGGCAAAACATGAAGAAAGTAATATTTCTAAAAATGATATATCGATAACTCTATACCTGATTGCTATAAAAATAAACTCAAGTTAGACATCCTTAACGAGAAGAAATATAAATGTTTTCATATTAAGTCTTGTTGTGGTTTGATCTGTACATCAGTTAATATCACAAATTTACAACTACACTGTGAATGGTTCAAATGGAAATAACTATGTTTGATCCTGTGTACATTTTCATTACTTTTCTCTCTCGTTCAGTGAAAGAAAGATGAGAAGGGAAATGTGAAGGATAATGCCACTGTGGTGGATGCAGTATCAAACTCTACAGAGAGAGGAGAAATAATTACCTGACATCTGTTTTTAACAAAGTTAATTAGTCATTTATTTCCCCCAGCAACACATATATAAATGGCGTTACCCTCTTGTATTCTATAATGAGTCTGTCATAGAGCATAAATCAAACTTAACTTCAGCTAACTGCTGTGAAAGGGAATAGGCAATGTGTTGGCCCTATTTCAAATTAAACTGCAAATACATTACAGATATATTAGGCCCATTCACTGTATGTAGAACATCCATTGTATTGTTTTCAGTTTAGATGTGAACAAGTGTTGGCCATTTAACTAAAAAGCAGAACAAAAATAAAACAAGCTGAAAGATTATAATTTTAGCATAAATATATAAATAACAATGATCCTTCATTTTGTTTTAAAATAAACTCAAGTTAGACATCCTTAACGAGAAGAAATATAAATGTTTTCATATTAAGTCTTGTTGTGGTTTGATCTGTACATCAGTTAATATCACAAATTTACAACTACACTGTGAATGGTTCAAATGGAAATAACTATGTTTGATCCTGTGTACATTTTCATTACTTTTCTCTCTCGTTCAGTGAAAGAAATATGAGAAGGGAAATGTGAAGGATAATGCCACTGTGGTGGATGCAGTATCAAACTCTACAGAGAGAGGAGAAATAATTACCTGATATCTGTTTTTAACAAAGTTAATTAGTCATTTATTTCCCCCAGCAACACATATATAAATGGCGTTACCCTCTTGTATTCTATAATGAGTCTGTCATAGAGCATAAATCAAACTTAACTTCAGCTAACTGCTGTGAAAGGGAATAGGCAATGTGTTGGCCCTATTTCAAATTAAACTGCAAATACATTACAGATATATTAGGCCCATTCACTGTATGTAGAACATCCATTTTATTGTTTTCAATTTAGATGTGAACAAGTGTTGGCCATTTAACTAAAAAGCAGAACAAAAATAAAACAAGCTGAAAGATTATAATTTTAGCATAAATATATAAATAACAATGATCCTTCATTTTGTTTTATATTTGTTCTACAATAATTATAGTCCAACTTATAACACCAGCGGAACCATCGGCCGAAATCGAGTGTAGCAACGGAATACAAACGTCTGGCACGTTCTCATTACTTCCGGGCGAACGGGATGTTGTGATTAGCTGCAGGCTAACGTGTTTACTAAATTTCAGGTTATGTTTGTTAAAAGTCAGTGAAGACAAATGTCTGTCCCTTCTGAACCGGGAGTATCAAACGCAATGGATTTAAATCCAGCGACGCTCTCGACGGGTAAAGCTGTGACAGCGGCGGCGTTAATTGCTCAGGCCCGGAGCAAGAAACGAGCCGTCAGTCCCGCGACCCACACAAGCCCGCAGCCAAATAATAACAGCGGTAAAAAGAAAAAAACACAACCTGCATCGTCAACTACTCAAGCTCAGGTAAAGAATTAATTCTAGCCTCTCTACATCACAGGTCTACCGTTTACATTCCTTGGTTCATTTGATAACGAAATGTTTCTCATTGATGGTGCTGCATTTATCAAAGGTTGCTCCAGTGGAGTCGACTTCTGAGGGAAAACCTGTGGGAGCTGTTGATGTAGAAACTCCTGCCAAATGTCTTGCTTTTAAGAACCCCAACTTTGTGGTAAGATTGTTGCAGAATAAAGACAGAGAGAAAAATATTCTCTGTTACAGTTCAATAGATTCATAAGTTCTTCCTCCTTCACTAGCACTCAGGTATTGGTGGAGCAGCAGCAGGGAAGAAGAATCGGACGTGGAAGAATCTGAAGCAGATTTTAGCAGCGGAGAAAGCACTGCCCTGGAAAATCACTGATCCTAACTGTGAGTCTGATTTACAAAAGTCATAAAACATGTATGAATCTGACTAATATTGTCAAAGAACTGATATATAAGGCATATAACTATTGCCAGACCATGTAAGTGGTCAGAGTGTCAGTGTTGATTTATTTTGACAATATTCAAATCCCTGTTGTCTTTTTCTCTGTCAGACTGCAGCATAGATGCACCTCCCTCTATGAAACCTGCTAAAAAGTACTCCGACATCTCAGGTCTTCTGGTGAGTCTGTTGTAAATTGTTTTTAATTAATAATGTACAAGAAAAATTGAGCGTGAGACTAAATTTCTAGAGTTGGTTTTAAATTCTGTAACACTTAATTTCTGGAACCTCACCTAAATATGTTTGTATCTGTGTCCTAGGCAAACTACACTGACCCTCAGACTAAACTGCACTTTGCATCGACTGAAGAGTTTTCCTACATTCGTCAATTGCCAACAGATGTGGTGACTGGATACCTGACTCTCCGTAAAGCCACCTGCATTGTGCCCTAATGGAGAACTTTTCCCCCAAACACGCATGTACTTGCTGACTGAACACTTAATGCTACAGGATATAAAGGACTAGCATACTTGCATCAGAACAAATTGAGCCTCTTGTGGATGTTTATGGTTGCCTTCATTGTGAATTTGATTGGTTACAGCAATGTAGGAAGTGACCATTTTTTCTAATAGATTTTCAGTGGATCATTTTCAGTGAACTATTTGTATTCTTATGATGTATATTTGGTAAAATGAAATCTGATATCACCTCTATTTGTGATCTGTATGTAAACTAAAAACAAAGCAAAGCACAGTATTGCTACAGTTAGCTCGATGGTTTTTATTTTGCTGTCATCTACCAGAATCATGAGGAATTTACAGTGATGCATTGAAGGAAAATTTCTCACACATTCTTCTAAGAGAGCCCCTCAACTTTTTAAACTTTTTTTTAAGTTACTCATTGAAGCTACATTAAGACAGCACTGTAAACTAAACACCTGTAAAAAATGATATGGTAACTCGATAAATAGAACAACAGTCTTGCCAGTCTTATATGGAGCCCAGTTGGCTTCATTTGTTCGTAAGCTTTTACTTATTCCTGAACAAAATCTTAACATTTTCAGATGATGTTTCTATATTATGCTTTACATGATGGCTCTCTAATGTCCAAGCCCAAATATAAACATTACAGTCAAACATCAGAGAAGTTTGCCTTATAATATGATTTCACGAGGCCTGATCTTATTAGAATAAGAATATAATTTAAATGGCTTCAGTAACTTGGAGACAAAGAAAAATCCACGCCTGAGAGTCACCTCACCACTGGCGTGATCAAATCCTGAACAACTGTTAGAAATGTAGGATGAGACTGAAAAACCATCACAGGCAAAAGTGACAAAAGGTATGTAGTGTCCCGATGATGAGCTCTGAGCTGAAGACAGACTTGTTAAAAGGAAGACTCTGGAGATGCTATTTACATACAACAATCAGTATAATTACTGAGTGAAAGATTTCAGATAGCTAAGCTGTAGAATTATGTTCATTCAGTTCAAGATTGAATGATATTGGGCTCAAAAACAACGATAGTCTTCTAAGCATTTAAATCTTTAATATCAAGGCAGATGTAATGTTACAAGCGTGTCATGTGCAAAGCGTTTTCTGTTGTTACAACCACTTTAGCTGGTAATATCTTCAGAGGGACAGATCCATCAAAAGTATAAAAGAACGGAAAGACTCTCTCTCATATCAAGGCAGATGTAATGTTACAAGCGTGTCATGTGCAAAGCGTTTTCTGTTGTTACATCCACTTTAGCTGGTAATATCTTCAGAGGGACAGATCCATCAAAAGTATAAAAGAACGGAAAGACTCTCTCTGTGAAGGTGGTTGTCATTGTGCGTAGATGTGTGTTAGTTACAGGATCACAGAATGAGAGTTTTCCTCTGTCCCAGTCCAGCTCCACTCTCACCCTCTGAAGCTTTTCTATAACTGCAAATGGTCTGTTTGGTTTCTTTGGGGATTGTGAGAAATATTTACCATCTTCATACCACATGCACCAGACATTGGTTTTAAAGAAAACTTCTCCTTTCCTTTGGTTTGATTCTGTGGTTACTCCAATAACCCACTCTGAATTGTCTCCAACCTCCACATCCCAGAAGTGTGTTCCTGAGTTAAAGCACTCTGAACCCAGAACACAAGAATATTCATCAAATCTCTCTGGATTATCCGGAACCGGTTGCCACGTTTCACTGCTTGTCAGACTGGTCAGATCATCAGACAGGATCAGATAAGTATTTGCAGTGTTTGGGTCCAGAGTCACAGGAGCTGATGAGAGATACAAACAACAGGTGCTTTTATTCTGATGCTTATTTAAACAGTATGAGTGAACAGACTATCATTAATAAACACTTGTCTTATTTCTGACAAATTTTCTCTGACATTGCTCTGTTATGAAAAGACCCCTTGTTTTATTCATCTTTGACTTTAAAAATGGGGGTCAATTTTGGGGGTGAATGTTTTTCCTACATATCCTCCATATCCTACATAGGTTTAATCTGCGATATTTTAGACTCACAGTTTTGAACAAGTTGCTGCATCTTCTTCCAGACTCTGAAGGTCAGGTTTCTCAGATGATCTGCCACATTAATCAAAGCTCCAGAAAGCATCTGTGGATCTTGCTGTGAACTCTGGGCTCTGGAATAACATTCACTAGTCAGAAATGTAGTGAGTTTGAGTTCACGATCAATGACACAAGTGACACAACAGCTCACTTACCTTTCCATTGTGGCATTAAAGCTCTGGAAAATATACAGTACAAAACAATTTAGTATCTCCTTGAATTATTAATATATATTTTTTCACGAATCATGTCAAAAGAGCTTCTCAATACACGTTTAAAGTAAGTTTTGTGCACAAGAAGAAATGGAAATCTGTTCTCACATGTAGAAACGAGACGTCACTGGCATTCATCTTCTCCTCTAAGTCTTTGATTGTGTCTGATAGAGCTGAGATCTGTCTGTTCATCTCCTCAAGCTTCTCCATCATCATCTGACTCTTCTGCTCTTCCTCCTTCCTCAGTGCAGTGATTGAAGCGTCTTCTTCATCCTGCAGAAACTGATGAAGCTTCTTAAACTCCTCTTTAATATGCCGCTCTGTGAGCTCAGCCTGAGTCTGAAATAATATGCAATCCCATATAACAAATTACATATACATTATATATTCGGTGTTGAAAATATTGATGATTTGACTCCTGATCTTCACCTTGATGTGCTGGACTGTTTGATCACACTCTCCTTTATTTTTTTCTCTGTGTTTAAGCTTCTCTTGTAAGGACTTCAGTGCTGTATTAAGCTGCTCCTTGAATTTAACAAAGTGAAAATCTGTGAAAGTGCCGTTTCTGAGAGAACCAATTGTAACCAATTATGTTTTTATTATTTCTAGGAAACAAGAGAAATATGTCTTACTTTGTAAGATGGAACAACCTCATCGATTGGGCTGAATCTGTGATTAGCATGTTTTTCTGAATCTCTGCACACAATACACACAGGCTGTTTATCGTCCAAGCAGAAGAGTTTGAGTTTCTCATTGTGGATAATGCAGACCTCCTCAGACCCTGGAGCACTTTCTGCTGTGAATGACTCGCATAAGTTCTTCAACACCAGATTACATGGAGGTTCATCTCTTGAGGATCTTCTCCTGCAGACGGGACAGTCCTGAGTCTTCCTGTTTTTCCAGAACTGTTGAAGACACTCTTTACAGATACTGTGACTACATGACAGAAGAACAGGAGTCTTAAAGATTTCAAAGCACACTGGACAATTAAGATCTTCTACAGATACTATTTTCACAAAAGCCATTCTCAGCTTTTGAATAAACCCAATGATCTTGATTTTTGTTTCACTTTCTCTTCTTCGGTTTAAAAAAACCCCATCAGGATCAGTGGGCCTGCTGTCTGTCCTTTTCTCAGTCCATTATTAGAAACTCGCGCCTCAAAAATCATTTTTTTATTTTATTTTTCTCTTTACATCATTTTAGTACCGTATATTTGTCTAAGAACTGTTCAGTCTGTGGCACCAATGAGAAAAATAAAAAGGCATCATTGGGCGTTTTGAAGGGCGGGGCTGATCATGCGCTGTTATGGCAAGCTTGATTTCTCTTGTGAGCTGTGACATGTTACGTGGCAACGAGTTTAATGCGTAAACAAACCCACGCGACCATAGCAACCTGGGATTTTCAGAAATGGATATTATTAATACATTATAGTTTATTTTGGATTAAGAATGACAAAACAACTGCGATATTACCACTATACCACTAGGATAGGCTATATTGCGCTCGATGTAGAAAGGATTCAAATTAAGCTTGTTTTATTAGTTAATGTTAAAAGAATATGTAAAAACAAAATAATATAGGGCTACAAGAAAACATTTTATCCATCCAATTTTACATGCATTCACTAATCGTTTCTTTATTTAATATTTGTATGTTATTGCTTTTATATTATTATATTCATTGTTATGTAGGCTATAACACACACACACAATCTCACACAATCTCACACACTCATACACACACACACACACACACACACACACACACACAACCTCTTTTTATTTTCCCCTTTATTTCATGTCTCTTTACCTACTTAACATTCTATATTCTACCATGTTTTGTAAATAAGAGCTACAACAAAAGGCCCCCCAAAAAAACTGTAGCCACCACATAATAACTCATAATCCCCTGCAGATATATACTGTACATATTCTTACATGTGAGAAAACAAGAAAATCAAATCACACTTAATAAACCTAACAAGATCAGACTAAACAACAGACTGGTCACATTCTAGTATAGGGGCCCAATTGACTTCATTTGTTTCTAAGTGACTCCTTTCTCCAGAACAAACTTTTTATATGATCTTTCTGTACTATGATATATGTGATGTCTCTCTGATACCCATGTCCAAACACAAATATGATTGTAGTAAGAAATCTGCACTATAATGTGAAATGTAAAAGTCTTGATATAATTGAAATAGGAGCATCACTTACATGTTTGTATTATCATAGAGACAATGATAGATCCACAAGCCCTGTCCCCTCACCTGTTCTCTCACCACTAGCCACTACAGCTTAATGAAGGCAAAACAAGCACCATCATTTCTTTTTCTTACAACAGAAAATAAACATCTTACATTTTATTGTTTTTGCAAACTGACCAAATGTTTTTTTTTAGGAAAGAAAAGATTTAACAGACCAAAATGACTGTAATTTTGTTTGGTGTTTTTGTTTCTCTTGTGAGGGCATCTGGTGAATCAAGATAGTGTTTGGTTAAACGTAGAAATCCACTTCATAGGACCACACAGGTTGAACTGTACTAAACAGTTCGGCATCTCACCTCATGTTCCTTCTCTGATGTCCTGTCATACAGTTTATCTTTGTAAGCTTTATCTGCTTGTGGATGCATATGGCTGCTTCCATTGTGAATTTGATTTGTTGCCTCAAAATAAAGTGAAATGACCCCCTTTACACTTATAGACTTTCGCTAAACTGTTTCAAATGAACAACCTTCATTCTTATGCTGTATATTTGACATAATATTATTTGACATCAGTCATTTGTATCTGTATGTGAACCAAAAACAATACAATGCTCACTGTAGCTCCTGATAGCTCATACATACATTTTATTTTGCTGCCATCTACCAGCATCTCAAGGTATTATAGTGGTACACTGAGAAAATCAACCGGCATTGTACAGTACAGGTAAATGATAGAAATTAGAACATAGAAACAGGTCTCACACCCTCTAGAGAAAGGAATAATTTCTTTAATTATATTTTTTTCTCTTGAAAGCCCCTGGCTGGAACAGCTCACAGTGTTGCTGGTAAAGTCTCTGATTCTATTGTACTGATGTTGGTCTGCCTGCTAGTCGGTCTCCTCCTCAAGGATGACTGTTTTCCCAGCATGAGCCTGTATGGAAGAACAGAGCCTTATACCTGCAATTCCCAGCGTTCCTTCTTCTTGAAGGTTTAAGTTCATCCATAGGACCACAGTATGTTGCATCTTCAGCTTAACTTCAGGGGTCATCTTCAGAACAGGTCACATTTTAAAAAATTTCATTTAGGCCCCAGCGAGGATTGAACTCACGACCCCTGGTTTACAAGACCAGTGCTCTAACCACTGAGCTATGGAGCCAGACCTGATCCTTGTCACTCATGTAAGTTACATAAAGCGCTCACTTTGAGTTAGCATAACAAAGACACACCTGTAGGAGTTGGCAGGCAGCCTGAGATGTCTTGACAGATGTCAAAGCTAAGGGTGGCTCTAGTAGTTGGCAGGGCCTTTTAATTGTTGTAACATAGAATGCTTGCACATATATGCCTATTTTAACATGTAAGAAAACATAAATATTAATCAACTGTTTTATTCGGACATGATCTTATTTCTGCATTTACTTTCGAGCCCACATAAATCACACACAAATATTCAGAACAGGAATAGAATTATCAGTAAATATTTATCATCCTATTTCTGAAACACTATCAGACATTTTTCTATGATTATAGTGTTATTTTGTAGCTTATATATTTGATTCTTTAATATATATTTTTGCTCGTTATCATGTAAATGATCATGTGTTACACAGTTTTTCTGTTGTTACATCCACTTTAGCTGGTAATATCTTCAGAGGGACAGATCCATCAACAGTATAAAAGAACGGAAAGACTCTCTCTGTGAAGGTGGTTGTCATTGTGCATAGATGTGTGTTTTCCTCTGTCCCAGTCCAGTTCCAATCTCACCCTCTGAAGCTTTTCTTTAACTGGAAAGGTGCTATTGGGTTTCTCTGGTGCTTGAGAGAAATATTTACCATCTTCATACCACATGCACCAGACATTGGTGTAAAAGAAAGCTGTTCCCTTCCTTTGGTTTGATTCTGTGGTTACTCCAATAACCCAACATGAAATCAACGTCCACATCCCAGAAGTGTGTTCCTGAGTTAAAGCCCTCTGAACCCAGAATACAAGCATATGGATAAAACCTCTCTGGATTATTAGGAACCAGTTGCTGTGTCTTGCTATGCCTCAGACTGGTCAGATCATCAGAAAGAAACAGACGTGTATTTGCAGTGTTCGGGTCCAGAGTCACAGGAGCTGATGAGAGATACAAACAACAGGGTTACTAATGATCTCTAGAGTATAGTATAGTCTACTCATTGTGCCTGGGGAGAAGTGGGCCCACTTCTCATAAAACTACCCCATGAGTCTTAGTGATGACGTCTAGTCACTTTGTCTGTAACACACTCTTAAAAATTCTTGATTGGGATCAAAGGTTCCACAAAGAACCTTTAATATCCATGGAATCTTTCCATCACACAGAAGGTTCTTTATAGTGGAAAAAAAGATGCTCTAGATTATTAAAATGTTCTTTACACAAAGAATAAAAAGTTATTTTATGAACTGTTCACTCGAAGGTTCTTTAAAGAGCCCAAAATGGTTCTTCGATGTCATTATTTTTTAAGATGTGAGATCATTGTTTCAGTGATTACTGTTTTCACCCACAGTTTTGAACAAGTTGCTGCATCTTCTTCCAGACTCTGAAGGTCAGGTTTCTCAGATGATCTGCCACATTAATCAAAGCTCCAGAAAGGATCTGTGGATCTTGCTGTGAACTCTGGGCTCTGGAATAACATTCACTAGTCAGAAATGCAGAGAGTTTGAGTTCACAATCGATGACACAAGTGACACAACAGCTCACTTACCTTTCCATGATGACTTTTAAGTTCTGGAAAATAAACAAAACAATTTAGTATCTCCTCAAACAATTAATATTTGCATAAATTAATTGTGTTAAAGGAGATTCCTAAAACAGGGTGAAAGTTTGACTGTGCTGGTAGGTAAGGTAAGTTGTTTTGAATACAAGAAGAAAACAGTTCTCACATTTAGAAATGACATGCTACTAGTGTTCATCTTCTCCTCTATGTCTTTTATTGTGTCTGATAGAGCTGAGATCGGTCTGTTCATCTCCTCAAGCTTCTCCTTCATCATCTGACTCTTCTGCTCTTCCTCCTTCCTCAGTGCAGTGATTGAAGCGTCTTCTTCATCCTGCAGAAACTGATGAAGCTTCTTAAACTCCTCTTTAATATGCTGCTCTGTGAGCTCAGCCTGAGTCTAAACATTAAAAAAAAACTGAACTAAATCACCTCAGCATTTTCACATTTCTGTCTATGATCAGTCGTGTTAAAAATTGATATTCTAAATAGTCACCTTGATGTGCTGAGCTGTTTTATAGCACTCTTTTTAAACTTATTTTATGTGTTTAAGATTCTCTTGTACACTCTCAGAAAAAAAGGTACAAACGGTGTCACTAGGGCAGTACCTTTTCAAAAGGTACACTTTTGTAACTTTTAGGTACTAATATGTACACTTTAGTTACTAATATGTACCTTTAAGGTACAAATATGGACTCTTTAGGTACAAAGGTGTGCCTTTTGAAAAGGTACCGCCCCAGTGACAACTTTTGTACCTTTTTTTCGGAGAGTGTATAAGTGCTGTATTGAGTTCCTCCTAGAAAGTTTAAATGTTAAAATCAGTGAAACTCCATTTTTTCCAGAGATGTTGGCATATTATTATAAGTATTTTATATGTACATTAAGCATTGAGCCACAAATAAAAATTTAGATATGTATTTGCATTTACAAAATATCAAAAAGATTAATTAAGGATGAAGGGGACGTGAAATGAGAGTAATGTCTCACTGTGGATAATGCAGACCTCCTCAGACCCTGGAGCACTTTCTGCTGTGAATGACTAACGTAAGTTTTTTTAACACCAGATTACAAAGAGGTTCACCTCTTGAGGATCTTCTCCTGCAGACGGGACGCTGCCGGACTTTCTTGTTTTTCCAGAACTGTTGAAGACACTCTTTACAGATACTGTGACTAAAACATTTAAAAAAAAACTGAACTAAATCACCTCAGCATTTTCACATTTCTGTCTATGATCAGTCGTGTTAAAAATTGATATTCTAAATAGTCACCTTGATGTGCTGAGCTGTTTTATAGCACTCTTTTTAAACTTATTTTATGTGTTTAAGATTCTCTTGTACACTCTCAGATAAAAAGGTACAAACGGTGTCACTAGGTGTCACTTTTGTAACTTTTAGGTACTAATATGTACACTTTAGTTACTAATATGTACCTTTAAGGTACAAATATGGACTCTTTAGGTACAAAGGTGTGCCTTTTGAAAAGGTACCGCCCCAGTGACAACTTTTGTACCTTTTCTGAGAGTGTAGGAAAATGAATAATATAAGTTTTTTTAACACCAGATTACAAAGAGGTTCACCTCTTGAGGATCTTCTCCTGCAGACGGGACGCTGCTGGACTTTCTTGTTTTTCCAGAACTGTTGAAGACACTCTTTACAGATACTGTGACTACATGACAGGATAACAGGAAAATTGAAGATTTCACAGCACACAGGACAAGACAGATCTTCCACAGATACTGTTTTCACAGAAGCCATTCTCAGTATTGTAATAAAAATAATCTTCCTTTATATCTTTTCGAATATGTTGTCCTCAGTTCTGCCTTGTCCAATTTGATGTCTTTTCCGATTTTGTCTGTCACGATGATATAAGATTTTGGCCATATCATCCACTTTTAAACCATTCATTCATTGACTTGCACTATTCAAAGGCCTCAAAACTTATTTTTTGCCTATAAGACAGAACTCTGAGCTTGATTGCTGTCTGAAATAAAATATACCCCCCTCATTACAAGATGGACAAAGAAATGTATAAATAAATAAAATGTGGAAATATATGTGGAAAAATGCAATTATGCATAAATAAGGAGATATTAGTAGAAATACTCATTTAATTTTGTTTATGTATATATTTATTTTTATATTTATTTCCGTATGTATGTATGTATGTTTTTTTTTTTTTTGGCAGCTTTGGCATTCCATATAATTATACCCGGAAAAAAAGAGGTTAAGCGCATAAATGGGATAAATTTCAGGAGAAAGCTTTAAGCTTAGTAGGAGAGGTTTATAGTAAGGGTTCTGTAGATACTTGGAATACTTCCATTAGTCATATGATACATGAGGCTGCTTGTCATGCCATTACAATGAAGCAGAAACCTAAGTGCCGTGTGCTGGTTCCTTGGTGGAATAAAGAATGTGATGAAGCTGTAAAGAGTAGGAATGTAGCATATAGACGATTAAGAAATACCCAATATTGATTAATGCAATTGAGTATAAGCATTTAAGGGCAGTAGCAAGAAGAGTTATAAAGGATGCAAAGAAAAATAGTTGGAGGAAGTTTTGTAATACACTAGGTCCTGAAAACTCCAGTAAGACAATTGTGGTCAGCTGTGCGTAGAATGTCAGGGATATATAAAAGAAGATCAATACCAGTGTTACAGAAGGGTGATGTGGAGGCGGTTTCCAATAAGGAAAAAGCAGGTATGTGTGTTGATAGCTTTCAAGAAGTGCATAGATCAGAAACTTTGGGGGTTGAGAGGTGTAGGATGAGAGATGAGTTACTGGCAGTTAATCAGTGGAAGTTGGAGAGGAGTTTAGAAAATGATGATCCTATTAATTTCGTTTGTTGGAAGTAGAAAATATAATAATAAATCAGTGGGCTATGAAGATGGGATTGGAACAGGGAGGTATTGCAGAGCATATAGAATGGTTACCTATGCCATATTGGGTGATGCCTGAGTTGAAAGTTGAGTTTGCTTTTCTTCAGGAAAAAGATAAGATGGAGGTGATACCAAGAATAGTGGTATATCTTAATTAAATTAATCAGAGTAGTATAATCATTTTTACAGATGGGTCTAGAGATCCAATTAATGGGAGAGCTGGGTTTGGGATGTATGTGGAAAAACTAGGGGAAGAGGTTAAGCGCAGCTACACCTCTTGTGATGTAGCAGCTATGTGTGTGAACCAATCATCTTGTCCAGTGGGAGTCAGTGGAGGTGAACCAGGCTCGCACAATGCGGGCAGGGTGACTGCAAATGAACTAATGTAGCCTGATCAAACATCGACCACAAACTCAGTCATCCACTAATATCCTCAGGTAAGAATATTCATCTTTTGTTAGGCTGTTATGATTTGCGCTTGCAGTTCGTGCGCAGTAATTTCCAAACAGCATAGATGCATTAGCGTTTGATATTTGTCCACGGTAGCCTATTACAGTCACACAGTAAAACAGGGGGGTTGCCGTACAAACCGTGTGCTATATGAATCACTTTTTTCACTTTACATAAAGGGACATTTATCCCATTACGTTTCTCTGCGATGATTTCTACTAAATAATGTTGCCAAGCCCAAAGGTAAACAAAATGGCAACATACATAGTAGCGAGTATGTATGCTATGCTGGATGATGTGGACGGGGCGTAGTACTCAACTGAGCCTTTTTCCTTTTTTTTTTTGCATTTGTCGTTTTATTGTGAAATTATAACGTAATTCTAATTTTTGATATATTGGTTATTTGGTATAGCTTAAGTAACGCGCCTGGTTGTGTGTTGGCTCCTTGATTTGAACTGCATGGAAAGACAGAGTACTGCACTTTTTATATATATAGATTTAGATATCATGAAATAATATCGTGGTCATATTCCCGTATTCCACCATGACAAATCTGGTCACCCTATACAGGGGACAGTAATAGGCCAGTGGGACAGTCAATGCTTCCAATGCCAAAAATGTGGCAGCACCATAGTCTTGGGTCACTATCCTATCCTGAATGGAACAGCTTTTCCATGCCTTGACCTTAGTCTTGACTTAGTCAATGAGAGTAATCTTCTGATGACTTAAAATATATAAACTACAGTCATTTGAAGTTACTTTTACATCGAGACTCAAGAACTTGATAATCAATCATGGTGTCAAACTTATTTTAATTGTAAACCTGACTACTGATTTTCTTGTATAGCTCTGTTTGAAATGTAGACAAGTGTGAAATATGAGTTTTGTTTAACTTTTCTAATTGAGCTATGGTTTTTCTGCAGGTCCTTTGAGGGTAAGGTCAAATAATCATGGCTGCTACCTCCCAGGTGTTCATGGTCATCCATGGCAGGAGGTTTGGTCGGATCCTGGTGCCAGCCATGACATGCCAAAACTGCAGCCAGTCTCCTCGTCCATGCATCAATGCAACTCAGCCACACAGCTTTAAACAAAGATGGCAGCACCAGGTGCGGGGATACAGGACCTCACCTGCATGGCACTCCTACTACTTGACGCCACCTCAGGTTAACAGCATTCTAAAAGCTAATGAGTACAACTTCAAAGTTCCTGAGTTTGATGGCAAGAACCTCTGTTCGGTCATGGGCTTTGACAGCAACCAACTACCGGCAAATGCACCCATTGAGGATCGCCGAAGTGCAGCAACGTGCTTGCAGACCCGTGGCATGCTTTATGGTGTATTTGATGGCCACGCAGGCTGTGCTTGTGCTCAGGCACTCAGCGAGCGGCTCTTCTATTACATTGCCGTTTCATTACTGCCACATGAGACGTTGATGGATCTAGAGAACGCGGTGGAGAACGGACGACCTCTTCATCCGATTTTGCAGTGGCACAAGCATCCCAACGACTACTTCAGCAAGGAAGCTTCACGCCTCTACTTCTCCAGCTTGCGCACATACTGGCAGGAACTTCTGGACCTGAGTGTTCCTGGGGAGCAACCAGATGTTGCTGAAGCTCTTGTGAGTGCCTTTAAAAGGTTGGACAATGATGTATCCCTTGAAGCACAGGTTGGTGACCCAAATGCATTCTTGCACTACTGGGTGCTGCGTGTTGCATTCTCAGGCGCTACTGCATGTGTTGCACATATTGATGGTAATGAGCTGCATGTTGCCAACACTGGAGATGGCCGTGCAGTCCTGGGTGTACAAGAACCTGATGGCTCTTTTTCTGCCCTCACGCTCACCAATGACCACAATGCGCAGAATGAATCTGAGGTGAAGCGTGTGCGGTCCGAGCACCCGCTTTCTGAGGCCAAGACTGTGGTGAAGCAGGATCGCCTGTTGGGATTACTCATGCCATTTCGCGCCTTTGGAGATGTTAAATTCAAGTGGAGCATCGAGCTGCAGCGGCGTGTTCTTGAGTCTGGACCAGACCAGCTCCATGAGAATGAGCACGCCAAGTTCATCCCACCCAATTACCACACACCACCATACCTTACAGCGGAACCAGAGGTGACGCGACACCGTCTTCGTCCACAAGATCGTTTCCTGGTGCTGGGCTCGGACGGGCTGTGGGAAACACTACACAGGCAGGAGGTGGTGAGGATTGTGGGTGAACATCTCACCGGAGTGCACCAGCAGCAGCCAGTCAGTGTTGGCGGCTATAAGGTGACCTTGGGTCAGATGCAGGGATTGTTGCAGGAGAGGAAGGCTCGCATCTCCTCCACCTTTGAGGACCAGAATGCGGCTACGCATCTGATTCGGTACGCAGTGGGGAGTAACGAGTTTGGAATGGTGGACCATGAGAGGTTGTCAAAGATGTTAAGCTTGCCAGAGGAATTAGCCCGCATGTATAGGGATGATATCACAATCATTATAGTGCAGTTTAACCCACACGTCATTGGTGGACCATAGAAGCGGACAGACTCTTTCTTCCACATGGTCTTGTTACATACATTATCAATTTTAATCTTACGCACAATCTCATCACTGCATTATCAGTAATATCAGCATAGCAAAATGTTACCTATACCAATGGAATGTATTACTATGAGTGTATTTTTATTTTCACATATTCATGGCAGCTGCCTTTGAAAGGAATCTTAATGTTCAGTAGGTGAGCGGTGTTGATTCCCAGTGTTATATGTGAAATGAAGCCAAACAGAAAAAAAAATTATGCTGAGCTCACCGCAGACCTACTATCACAATTAAACCCTCAAAATGCAACACAAAACCATAAATCAAGACGGGAAATTTACTAATATAGGTTCAGCAGATTTTGCTCTGAGGAGAGACTTTATATAGTGCTTGTGTTATGCCAAAATTTGCTTTTATGTTGTATTATTTTAATTTTTGAATGAAAGTAAAACAAAGGTCATTTAAATGGTGAGTGAGAAACAATGAGAATAGAAACAAAATAGGTCCAGATATGTAGCCTACTTTTAAGTTGGAGTGCTCTGTAACTGAGATCTGTTAAATGAGAAGTTGCCTTAAAGGTACAGTACACCCAAACATTTTAATTCTGTCATTTATTCAACCATGTAATTTCAAACCTGTATTCAAAAGCAAGATATTTTGAAAAATGTCCCAGTGATGTCCAGTCTTATTTTGGGCCCCACTGGCTTTCATTATATGGACAAAAACAGTTACTCATAATGTTTTTTTGTATCCTACAGGTTTAGAATGACATAAGGGTAAGAGTAAATGGTGACAGAATTTTCTTTTTTGAGTTAACTATCCATTTAATGTTTTATTTAGGTTCTAATGAACCAAATTAGTTGCTAATGCTACTAATTAGCCAGCGACATGAAAGCAGCAGTGAAGTGTTTCATTTTCTTGCAAAGTGTTTTATTTTAGTACCATTGTATTCTTTATTTTACTGATAAGTTATTTTTGTACAGCATGCCTTTAGATACAGTTTCCATGAAGTACTGTATGTCTTAGAGTTCAAGTGTCATCAAAACATGGTTTGCTCAACCAAATTATCTTCTTATTACTGTAAAAGTCCTGATAATGTGGTCTGCTTTATTTTTATTTTATTATTATTTATTTTTTTGCCTGTACATGGAGTCAGAATTTGGGCATTTGATGATTTTTATTTTTTTTTCATTTGATGGTTACTTTCATATCATTCTTTCTTCAGTCCCTTCTGACAGTGATCTTATATTTATAATGCTGCTGGTCATTGCTGAAATTCCTGTTTGGTTTTCTGATGTGTGGATGTGTGCTGCACTTCTCTGAAAGGTGAAGGAGAGGTATTTAAGGAAACGGAGGTTAATGACACAACAAACCAGGCATACTCACACTTCTTATAAGATGAAACCTTACCTGTATGATTACACTACAATGGTGAAATGTGAACCTGAAGCACTTGCTTTGTAGATTGTGTTTTGCAAAGTAATTCATTTGGTTTCTAAGTATTTTTATAAGTGTCACAACATTTTTCAAGCGATTACTGGCCACAGGGTAGAGATTAGAACTTGAGTTCAATGTCATTTTCTTTTTGGTCTGAGGGTTATTGGACAAGGTTAAAACCATAACTCTGTGATTGTACCTTCTTGACGGTTTTCAGTATGTTCTCAGCTCTTGCACAAGAACACAGCTGATTACCACATGAAGTGTTTTGAATGATAGTCAATCAGCAAACAGTGTTATTAAAGTAATACTGTAATAAAGTTATAGGCTTGCTGAAGTGTAAATACAGACTGCTTTATATTGGAAAAGCAATTGCTTAATACTTGAAGTAAATGTATGCAGCAGCTTGTTAAATTTTAAATGAGTATATTTAACAATATTTTGCAGCATGTCACAAATGTATTTAACAATATTACTATGTGCTGGTGCATAGGCATGACTTCTGCAAGTACTCTTGCCTTTTGTATTTCAGATGTTTTAATAAAAATGTAACCAAGTAAATATTGTCAATTTTTTGTATTTTGTTTAAATGAATGCATGAAGAGTAAAGGTTTCAGTTTCTAAACAGAGCAATCCAGTCTAGCAGACCTAAACAGATGCCAGAAGCTACATTTCATCCTAGCAATGCACATTTATTTAGTAAGAATCAGTGAACTTCATGTGTGTTTGGAATGCTGCTCAAACTGAGTAGCTGGTTCAGGGATGGGGTAAAATCATCATGGTGTCAGATCACAGTCTCTGATTTGGCAAACTGTAAGTAAGTCAGTCTATCACAAGGCTCTATCATGACATGGCAGTTCTGAAACTTTAAATGTCAAGAGCTCAGAGGGTTCAGGACATGCATATCTGCAATTTCACAGTAAAGGTTGTGTTGTGAAGTTATGCAGCCTATGGGACTGATTTACAAGTGTAATGTTCTCGCCAAATTCCCACAGCCAGGTTGTTCATTATCTTGACAATACATTTGAAAAGTTTGGGGTCAGGATGATTTTTTTTTATGTTACTGAAAGAAGTCTCTTATGCTCACCAAGAAAACTGAACATTTAGCAGCCATTACTCCAGTCTTCAGTGTCACATGATCCTTCATTGTAATAACATATGTAATACGCAACACTGTAATAATGTTGAAAACAGTTATGCTGTGTTACTGCATAATATTTTTGTGGAAAGCATCACACATTTTATAATTCTTTGATGAATAGAAAGTTCAAAAGAATAGCATTTATTTGCATTAATATGGTACTATATACGTTCTTCTAGACAAGACTTAATATGCAATACTCACTATTTTACAATATCCTGCAGGGAGTCCTTGCTCCTTTTCTTCATCCACCAAGAGGTCCTTGGTCACTCTGACAGATTATTTGACTCTGGAAGAGGTGTGTTTACATATACAAAACTAATCAAGATATCCCCAAAATTTGCAGACACAGCCTTTATTCTCGTAACATTAGATATCGAGGGAATGAATTCAGTACAAAAGTAGAAAAAACGAGGTTTTAATTGTGCTATTTGCATATTATCCAATTCTCCACATGGAGGCGCCAATCGGCAACAAACGCAAATGGCTGGTACGTCTATGAAGTATCAAAACTACTAAATTAACACATGAAATACACTACAGCTTTAAACACAATCCATAAATAAACTTTCTGTCTGTATTATAATGCACGTGGCCTAAGGTGTGTGTTAATTTTCTGTAGATACTGTGAGGCGACTGAGATGATGATTGAAGTATGGAGCAGACTGATCTATGTGGATAGTTGACCGATTGACGTTAAATAAAGACGTTGACGCAAATCTGTCTTGCTCATTTTACTGTATAAATATTGGTCGTATCTGCAGCAAAACAAACCATAGACTGAATAAAGGACTTTGAACAAAATCCAATATGCCATCCAATCCAGCTCTGCATGCAGGTCCTAGCCTAGAATGTTAAGGTTGGTCAAATATCTGATAGACTCACTGGAGTGAGAGGGATTTTACAGTAAGCTTGATGATTCATCTTCCACACCAGACATCCTCCTCCACTCATCAGTCAGAGAAACTCATCAATTCCACTGACTCATTCTGTCAATCAGATCTGGTCATTTAGATTGGCCATTTAGCTATTTAAATGCACTGATATTTAAATATTATTTAAATTAATTTAAAAATTAAAGTTTTCGAGATTGCAGCGGTAATGAAACATACACACAGATAAAAGTGAAGTGAAGTGGTGTGTGTGTGGCCAATTATGGTGACCCATGCTCGGAATTTGTGCTCCGAGTCTGCATTTGACCCATCCAAGTGCACACACACAGTAGTGAACACACACACCTGGAGCAGTGGGCAGCCATATTGCTGCGGCGCCCGGGGATAGGGATGGGCGTATCGATCCAAAGTATCGATATATCGATACTGACGAGAGTATGATAAAGAAACAATCTCCTCTACATTTCATTTTTGTGTGAGCTATTCCTTTATGTTCTTACTTTTCTACATCACAGTTACATTCCTGTTGTTATCAGTTAGCTGGAGCAGACTATATTGGAAGATAAATACATAAAAATTGGTTGAGAGCAAAGAAACCAAACATCGAAAATTGCATTTCTTCATTATCCACATCCTTTAATCATTCATCATAGTGTAATAGAGTTTAAATAGTAGAGTCTAAAAGTATATCAAGGTACACGTTTAAGAATAGATAATACTGTATATGACGGTAATATACAAATACATACTCTAGTCTTCTCTTGAATAGGTTTTTATTTCATTGTAATAGTTCTAAGGTCACAGGGAGCTTTAGCCATTAAAGAAATCTCATAATTAGTAGACTAAACATTCAACTGATGATCATAAACCATATGCTTGTCATTCCCTCTAGAATTCTCTATAATTAATTTAACAGTTAAGATGTGTAGTTAAACTGATACAGCTGTTAGCTCGTGAATATCTTTTTTTATATTATGAATGTTATCTCTACAACTGTTGGAAAACAGATTCCAAGTAAACGTTAGGGAGGACTTAGCAACTGCACATTTGATAAAAGTTATCTTTACAACTCAAGACAGTCAAAGGATTAGGTGAATCAAAAATGACCTTTGGTAGATATAGTAAGTCTGAGGAGGTAGTTTGGTTGTATTGTGTTTTGTTGCTTTATCTTTATAAGGGTTAAAACAGAAACTGTTTATTAAATAAATTAAAAGCCCATATAAATGTAGCTTTATACACATTGGCAACAATCTGCTTGCCTTTTCCACTGTTTAAATTATACAAGTTTTTTCCCATGCAATAAATAAATAAATCAAATAAAACAAAGTCCTGTGATAAAAATATAATTCTCATTCTCAGTGTCACAAATATTCGTATTTGATTAGTGACATTAAATATGAAATATTTCTTCTTTATTCTGCATCTGTTTTTTAGCTTTCTGAGAGCAGACGAAAATGTTATATCTTTTGTTAGTATTAATGCAATTAATTCCTTTTATGTAATGAATCTTAAATATTAAATTTTACATCATATTTGTTCTTTGTCTTTGATTTTTCAAAATCTGTAAACTTTGTGCTAATTTCCAGTTTTAAATTATATGTCGGACCCCACTGGAGATAACTTTTGGCAGTACTATTGTCATTCACACTAGTATTCACTTTCAGAAATTTGTTGGCTGTTTAAAAAAGCAGTGCACTTGCTTTCATGTTTCTATTTAGACTTTCCAGAATCACCTATTCTCTTGCAGAGGCAAATATTTCATTAAAATATTCTACGGCCCTGACAAAGAAACAATCTCCTCTATATTTCATTTTTGTGTGAGCTATTCGTTTATGTTCTTACTTTTCTACATCACAGTTACATTCCTGTTGTTATCAGTTAGCTGGAGCAGACTATATTGGAAGATAAATACATAAAAATTGGTTGAGAGCAAAGAGACCAAACATCGAAAATTGCATTTCTTCATTATCCACA